CTCGTCTACGTTGATGAAACTACCGCACCATCCAAACGCGCCCGGGAAGTCAGAAGCTGGTTGTATGACTTCGGAAGTAGAAAGTCCTCGAATCCTGGACTTCCACGAATTTTCTTCAACAGTTTCTCGTGCTCTATCACGAGCTTTCGATGATCGTCCGCTGCAGGATTGCCCGCAAGACCCGTGCCGTCGGCGAGGCTGTCACTACGGCGCGAGAACCCATCGTACGCGGACGTTTGTAGACGCGTTCGGACGATACGAAGGTCGTCGGCCAATTTGGGATGTGCGTCATACAGCTCATCAAGCGGAGTGCGCAGCGACGAGACCTGTGCCCATATAAGGGCCCTCCCTGCCTCGAGCCACTCGACAGCTCGAGACAATGCTCTACCAGCGATAGCAGCAGCTACGGCGGCATTGACGACCTGGCCCATCCGAGAAGACTCCCAAAAGCGTCGATGGATGTCGTGCCCGAGCCATACGATCTCGGGAAGGATAGCAATGATGCGCGAGTGTGCGGAGAGCAGCATATCCATAGTGGCAAAGGCGGTGTTCCTAGATAGCAAGCTAACGCAGCTCGCGGCAGCTTGAAAGCGAATTGAGGGTTTGCCGGATAGGTGTGACGTTGCTCGCAAGAAGGTCTCGACGGCTGCTTTGAAGTCAATTACGGTCAGAGTATGCTCGTATAGCTTGCTTTGTGCAGTGCCCAGGTTGTTCAGAATCGTTGACACTCGCGGATGGCCGTCAGGAATCAGCTCCAAAGCCTTATTCAACGATGAGACCGCTGCTCTAATATCTTCTTCCGAACGCGCAAGCCCGAAGCGGCTCTCGAAGCAGAGCCCAACGATCCCGTAACACACAGACATCTCTAGGCTCAGCGCGCCCTTAGAGCGCTGAATTGCCATATTTGCATCGCGTTTCAGGCAGTCGACAAAGGGGGCGGGTTGTGTTGGCTACCTGAACCGCGAAGCAAATTTATGAATCTGTGTGCCCGAAGGCCATCTCAAGTGGAGGGGATCACAGCTCAATGCGTCTTGTGCTGTATGAATATCAGAAGGTCGCGCTATAGTGGTTCCAACATTAGTGAATACCGATGTCACTTGGTGCAGCATAACGTGCGTCGTGTGCCACTTTGGCTTTGAGCGCACATAGTAGGTTACGGACGCGCTTACGCGTCCCCTGAAGTATAAATTAAATTTGAGCATCCAGCGTTCTGGGTCTCTTCGACGACAAAGCCCAAATCCAATCCCCATGAACAGACAGTCGCAACTTCGATCTAACTCGCCACGGAGTCTTTCCGGAGTTGCAGAAGCGGCGGTCGCCGGATCTTGCGTCCACGGCCAGGCGAATGGCACGCATAGTCACAAGCGCGAGCACTTGGAATATTCAAGCCTGCTATATGAGTACCATCGATCGGTGGTTGCGGTGCTGGTTGAGAGATCAAAAGCAGCACCAGAAGCCCTCGTAAGAGGCCCTCTGATTGAGGAAGATGGGGAATCCTGCGACGGATATTTTATGATAGCAAATCCCAATGTTTGTGACTTGAGACTGGTCATCTGATTTAAGTTACTCACAATATCCTTCCTAGAACAAACGATGAGCCCAGCTCTAGCTCTGGGCCCGTTTCAACATCGTCGATGCCACGCAATTCCAACCGTGTTTACAGCCAGGAGCAAGATTCGAATCCTTTGCCAATGGAGACTTGAAGGAAAGGTATCAAGCCACAATTTTAATAGATCCTGCCTCTGATTCTCCGAGAACGGTCGTAAGATTCCGTCGTGATAGCAGGCAATTGAGCTGTATGACAACATTTCGTGTTAAATCAGCCGGTGATGTTATTGCGTTCTGTTACCCCACACATACGAGACAAAGCGCATAGCAGCTACCATAGTAAGGCATGCCCATGGTTTATTGGCGTTTGGGTGAGAGTATTACGTATGCGGCATGACGTGACAGTATGCAGAGAGCACGGCGTCAGGAAGTCAGTGTACAAGGTCTTTGATGAAAGAGTCAAGGGGAGTACAAGGTTGAGGGGTTTGATATGTCACTCAGAGTAGCTGTCGTCCCGTTCATTGGCAGTCTCGGATCTTTGGGTGGTGGAACGCATGTTGACGTCACGCACCATTTGCGAGCAAGACTCTGATACAGTGTGTCGAGGCATCAAAATGTGTCGTTGTCTGAGCAAAACAAAATGACGAACGCGGCAGTAGAGTGACCCGTACGTTTATTTCTTCATCGGTTAGGGCCCTCGTCAGCTCTATGTCTGCCTTTGTAGCGCTGCGGTCAGTAAGTGTCTGCCTGCTCGTTGCTTACTTAGCTATAGCGAGGGTTCAGCCCAAGAGTCCTTAGTACGTTTTCTGATGGATGCAGAAGACGATGATACCTGTTACGCTTTACAGACCCTTGAATGGCGGAGATAGATGTGCTCGATCTCGGACAATCAACTCTTCGCCAAGAACAAGTGCGTCCAGCTTAGTGGGGAACAAGAACAGGAGCTAGCGCTGCGCACGTCGGGATGTGTTACAACGTCTGAAGTTGCGGATTGAACGTTGGGTGGCAGTTAGCATTGTTCCAATACGTGAGCCCTGACTCCAGGGAACAAACGGGTAATGAAAACGCAGTAGACATTCTTGCGAAGCAGCGTGGCTCTATCTAGCCTGAGTCAAAACATGTACCTTCATTGCCTCACTATTAAGCACGATCAGGCCCGGATACCCGCCCCTGTGAATGTAGCATGGCCCTGGCTCTGCTTCAAATGTTAATGCGGGCTTCTTCAGTCCTATCGGTGGTGGCTAGCGGCTCTCAGAACCGCTAGAAACGACATCATCCGTCCCTGAGAGACGAAGGACGCGCGGAAGAAGCCTCCGCAAGTGCCCATAGACAAATGGGCTGGCGCCCTTCAAACGTGCACGAACCGGCCCACGCAAGAGCCCGACACCTTTCTTCAGGCCGCGCGAGTGCGTGGAGTCTGTTTGTTTATCTTGAACTTTGCGCCGCCAAGGCATCCGGGCAACCGTGTGCTCGCCGTAACCGCGGTGTCCCACCGTGGGCATGCAGACGGTACGATCACCATTTCGTACACTTCAGGGGGACCCCAAGCGCATCTCAACTACATCAAGCAATGCACGGCGCGCAAGCAGCTAGCTGTACATTCAAAGAACACCATGGTGATGATCTCCAATGGAACCACCATATGACTGATCCATACTGTGGCTTAAGAGCAAACAGCTCATATACGTGTCTGAGTTTGTCTACGTGCGTGAAATTACGACTGTACTAATTTGAAGAAGACATCCTCACACTGCACTACGTCACCGCCGCGAGGCGCACGCGTACCGTGACC